TTTGACTTCTATTAACAAACGAGAACAGTTTAACAGCCCTCAGCAATCAAAATATGAAAGTCAAAACTTTATATTATTTGACGTAAAGCTTAAAGAGATTAAAACCACTCGCATTTCTAGCAGCTACGCACCGACTACTTTCATATCTATTGATGTATCTATATTGAATAGTAGCGACGTCTGGTGTGATACAAAGCGCGTTGCAACCGCTGCCGGGTGGGGGCGGCGGTTGCCCAGCGCCCGGCGCAGTGGTGCGGCGGACCGGCGCCCGCGCTATGACTCATCCGGCCGCTGCGTGATCTGCCCGAGACTGACCATAGATAAAAAAACTCGTAGACACGGCATACACAAATATTATTATCCCTCACTTACCAAAAGGGTAATGTTTGTCGCCTGTATATCAGACATAATTAGTTATTTAAAATCAAATATTACTTGTTACTGCTAAATGTTTTCATAAATACATTTCTTGAATGTTGAAGATATAACAGCGTGAGATATAGTTTATTTAAACAAAATAGAACATCATTAGCCGCTAAAGATGATTATAGCTTTCATAATAGGTTACTTTTAAAATGGTACGTCATTATGTCAACACTTACATTACAAAGCGATACTTCGAAACGATTACATAATTCTATTGTAAGTGTTTAAGACATGTAAATTCATTTACTTCATTGAATTTATTTTACGATAGTTAAATAGAGATGTTTCTTGTCCTTATAATTAGAAAATATGTCCATTAAGATTTTAAACATTTACATTAAGAAAAATGTATCTTGCATGTCTGTGAGAATCTTAAGTCTGCAACGACAACCAACTCGAAGGTCGACAAACCCGTCAGTGCGGTACCACATTTCCGTAAAATGTACTCGCGTAGTAACTTAACCTGACTTCCATGTCTTAAGCACCTTTAAAGTGCAAAAAACTGCAAAAGGTTAATACTTCCTTAATTTTATATGAAATATAAACCAGCTTTAAATTTCACCTGGCTGTAATTTTAAACATTGGTAATTTACATCCTTTTTACTTCATTATTAATATTTATATTGAAAAATATAATAAACTATAAAAACATATAGTACCTATACATTTAGGTAAATTCTCCCACTGATAACCTTCGCTTACGTTTACCTAATTATTTAGAAAATGTTTCTATTAAAAAACGTATTATTTCATATATCTGAAATTAGATAAATTCTGATGTATTTGCACCGTATCCTAAAAGTCTGGAAGTAAAAACTAGGCTAAGAAACAAGTAGGTTGAATGAACATTAATATTAATTGATAAGCGAGGTCAGATTCATGCTCGGCCTCTTAATACAGGCGGCATTTCCATTAGCGCTATTAAATATAACTGGAATAGATACATAACGTGTCTACTGCAGCGACACTCACGTCATCTCTGTCATTTCTTTGGAAAAAACTGAATAAGAAATACGTCGATGTCCAAAACTTAGGTACAGTCGTGGAAATCTTACAGATAGTTGACTTTGTTCCTCACACGACGCATCTTACAAAAAAAAGAAAACTATGTACCAGTAAGTTGCACAAACAAAAAGATATTAATAAAGGACAATAAGCCGTCTTTTTTTCGTACTTAAAATATTAACTATTGGTTATTGTTCCGCGTGTTCACCTAATGAGTAGAAAACGTTCAAAGTATGTAGCTATTAGGGAGGTATACCGCCAGATTCCCATTTGTACGTAACAAACTGGAAACTGAACACCGTCGCTTTATTCGTCAAAGTGCTTGTATGTCAACTCATTGCAAAAAAATGATTGATTGATTTCATTCTAAACTTGTAAAAGTCGTTACCGCTCTCTTGGCCGACTAGACTTTCAATTAGCGGGTTCCAAACCTGGAAATTTCGTTTTAGTACCTTTATAACTCTTTAAACGAGCTACACATACATTTTCCTCTTACATATTTAATCTAAGTATTGCTTGTTCAATCCTTAGGGCTGTCCTACCACGAGCTGATAGAGGCTCAGATCGCTTAAAAAAAACGTGACTGTCACATAAGGGAGCAAAATCCGATATTTTACACATTTTTATCAGACAATTAATATTTGGTGGGACAGGACGTTAAACTTGTATTTAGTTATCAATCTTTGCTTTTTGCATTTACTCAATCTTTTGATATACTATGTACAAGTAATATCATGCAAGTACATTATGTAACAAGCAATGTGATATATAGTACTAGGTGTACATTACAATATGGTATCGTATGACAATACCTTGATGCAATTGGTTTTGATTCAGACGTCCTACTATCGATGGAATAAAATGCTCAGATCCAATGTTAAGAAAAATAACACAAGGCGGCAATTCTATAACCAACGTATTTTTATAGCCATTTTAATTAGAGTTTAACTATTTTGACCTTGAGTCATAGTTTGTCTAATGAAATATCTAATGAATCTAGCCTAGCCCATGATCTAAGAAGTTACTTAACTACACGATACATAAATGGCTCATCTTTATTATTACTTTGGGTATATAGTATAAACATTAATTTTAAACGTAGTTTGAATTCCAGAAACACTTGAAATTCGCATAAATTATTTAGTCATACTTGAGCAAAACGAAGATAAATTATTCATAAAAATAAACGTAGATTCGCAAGCGTAATTTTTAAAAACAAAATTTTAAACAATTTTCCTAATAAAATGTAATATTCCAACGGAAAATGTAACGATTTAAAAACGTAACCTTTAGACTGTAAAGTACGTCAACATAAGTATATTAGAAAAAAAGACACAATGCTAGTTTCTAATACAATAGATTCCAATAACTTTTTACCTTAAATATTTTTTATTAACCTTCACGCAATGCTCGCCGTATCCTATTATAAGAAAGAAAAAAAAACAATTTGTTAACACTATTATCTGACTACAAGACTTGAATAATATAAGTAAAAGTAACTGTTTTTTATAAGAAACTAGATGAGATTCTCTAACCACAATTTGCGACAAAAAATAATAATTCACTAATTAAAGAGATTCGTACTATAAAATGGCTTGCGTTAAGTAATTTTTAATTTACATTCATCTTGCCATGTACTAGCTAAAGTAAAACATTACTATTCACACACAAAGAGCACTTTCGTGTTTTTCATATTTGTATTTTATTTTCTTAAATCTTAAACATTTCGATTTTGTATTGAGCTAGTGACGTAACCACTTTTATATGGTTTTTATAACTGGTTAAGTGTTATGTTAATCATATTCCACAATTTTGCACTATGTTGTATGTTAGTGCTTTTATTTAAGAAAGAGAGAGAGGAGGGGAGAGAGAGATGTGTATCCATAATTTAACCATGTAAACTTTAACAGATAATTCAAAACAATACAATGGGAAATAAAATATTAGTTCTTCATTAGTTATATGGTGTAGGCTTATTTATTGTAGGTTCATACAAGCTTAATGTAAGTGAAAGTAGGGTTATGAATGACTAATAAGATTTACCACCCACTGTTTTAACCTACTATTATGTTACTGCTTTTGGAGACTATAATAAAGACAAATATATTATAGTAGCTTTTGCTTGACTCCATTAACTTGAAATAAAAAAGAAGTATGTAGCTTATGTGCTCTTCCAGTCTTTGCTCTTCATCTAAGGGAATCAAAATCTATTTAGACTTTTAGATAGTAAAGTCTAAATAACATCCATCCGTCTGAATTTTCCCAATTATTTTTGTCAAAGTATGGTGTTTATTTCAAACTTTACCCTACTTCCAGTAATTTGTGGTATACCATTAGATTGTTAATTATGAATAAACGAAATAATAAATTCAACAGTTGTTTATAAAAGCTACAATTTTTTTTAATAATTTTAATTTACTATAAACATGTCACCCTAAAAATACACAGATCATTATCCTGCCGAACTATAAATAAACTATAAGGGTAAGGGGACTGACACCTTGAAGCCCTTTTATAGGCCCTTTTATTTCTATTAAAAATTCTAACCCCTCACATTTAATTTTAGAAAATTTAGGCATTCTGTGACAACTTTCTTTTTTGATATGCCTGTCTTTTAGATTTCATAGCAATATACCACAGCTGTTGTTAAACAATAAAAAAGCACTCATTTTATGACACTGTTAATCTCAAATATTCAGATTATAATACAGTACTGGTTTTAATATTGCATTTGTATTAAATTGCTTTCAATGTTGCATATGTTATGAAATCCCAAACCATGAAGTTGCTGCAAAAATGATTCCATTGAAATATTTAAACCAATCATCTTTTAGCTGTAATACATCAGTGCTGTTTAAAAGGGTAATAAGGGCATGAAGTTTACATAAAATGCATAACAAATTAAATAAAATGTTGCATACCATAAACATTTTAATTGTTATTACACAAGCTATTGTATGTTTGCAAATTCTGGAATAACACATAGGCTTCATACTATATAATTTTTTATTTCTGCATGGACAGTCTATGGCAAAATCTAGTTTAGTACTAAAAAATGTATGACCTAACTTGTTATCATTTCTTTATTGAAATAGATTCTTAATCATGATATTGTAACTGTTAGAACCTAAATCAGAAAAGTGAATAAAACGCAAATGTTTATTTTGTATTTAGCTGAGGTTATAATCTGTATAGTGCACAACAGTAAATGGAAGCTGATATTAAAGTACCCATTCAAATAAAAAAAAAATCAACAAACAATCATATATTAAACAGTTATAATCACAGATGTCAAGAAATGATTAACTTTCTTTTTTTCTTTGTCTTTGTGTATAACATGATGATAATGTTTACAAATTGTAAAATTTATTAACAAGGAAAGATAAACACAAACCTTTTAAGTAATCATCTCAGTACCACTAAAAAAATATTTGAATAAATGCTCCAATAAGATTAAGAAAAACATTTTATGTAAAACTCTGAAGATGCAATAACAATAGTTTGAAAATCCTTTGTAAGTATATATACCTACATATTAATTATATACAGTTAACTTGTATAATACTTACCAATGATAAACAGTGTGCTTCCCAAAAGACATAATCCAAGTCGCACACAAACACCCCTATTCAGGCTACTTGTCACACGCCGTGAAAAGTAGCTGATGGGGCAATTCCATCGCTGATCATTTGGTTGTTGTTCGTATGTCACTGTTGTAGGTTGATAAACGGCACTGGTCGGCATCGTAGCAGTTCTCAGGTAATGTTCACAACAAAAGTATTGTTTTGCACTACAAAATACAACTTAGACCACTTCACATATAGGTATACATTTGCATGTATTTTACGCGTTGTTTTTGTGCAACTGTCGATTAACAATTGTAAAACCAAAGGACAATCAGAAGCAACATAAAACGATAAACGATTGCACGAATGAGATGGATTCGGATGACTAACGAAATGACAATACGTTTGATCGGTGTTGAAAGTTGAAAAACAAAAAGGTTAAGATTTGGTTTGGCATCAGTGTAGCCAGATTTAAATTCAACTTTCTACCAGTCGAAAAATAAAATATGAAATCTATCACTAATACAATAATTAAATGCAGAATCAAACGTAAGAACGGAACAAAAAAAGTTTTATTTTTGTAAAGTTTTATCAGATCCTGCCAAGATCTACGTTAGAAATTACCTTATATTTTGACGGTTTCAATTCTGCTAAAATCGTAAAATCCATCTTAATCTAGTCACACTATATCATCATAGATTATCATTTTAATCTATGGAAAGCACAGATACATTAAATAAAATGAAGAGTATATAAAAGGCAGATGAAAAAAGGGATTGTACGTGAAAACTTCTCATTTTCTTCATCACACGCTTCAAGATTTTTTGTGGCATGCTGTACCAAAATGCGGAGGTCCACATTCTGGGGAAGGTATTGGAAAGGCCTATGTCCAACAATGGGAAGTAAAAGTGGTAATATAATATAAGCAGGTAGCGCCAGCAGCAACAATTCTGTGTTTATCTTCATTAGACGTTTGCTGCACAATACAATATAGGATCCTTTGAAATTGACATCACCCTGTTCCTGTCTCTTTCCCTGTACAGTATATAGAGGGTCACCACAGGATGTTGTCTCTTCCATACATCAGGAGGCGTCGTATCTTAGAGGGGTTAATAAAACTATTAATTTCATATTGTGCAAAAATATCAGGATATATTTTTCAATACAATAAAATCCATTATCATTAGCTAATAAACCATTTCATATCACTAACAGTCATACAATTCAATAATACGACTACTCATTAACAGGTAAAAAGGCACTCATCCTCGTTATAAATATTAATAAGTATTGATTACATACTTATTTTACACTATAAATACATTCACTTACTATATATAAAAATTTATTACGGTATATTTAATTAAATAATATAAATGGAATATCCACTTATCTAGTTTGTAATTGTGATTAATCTATATATACAAAAATCCAGCTTTCAAATAATAAGGCACCTATAGCATGAGCAATAGCTTCTGTTAGATTATTTCCTTTTGCATATACTTCTAAGTGCAATATATTTGTGCTTTGTACTGGGCAGTAATGTTTATATTACAATGTAAAATTTTCTATATAAGAAAATCTGCATTATTTAAGTCATACTATTAATTGCATAAGTCCCTAAACAATATTGGTCTGTGTAAAGAAAATTACATTTTATTTTATATTACCTTAACAATGGGGTTTATTTATTAAGACAAGTTATATTTTACATTATTAACCTTGGTTTATTTTTACTTTTACACGCAAAATAAAAGAAATGTATTGACTTTTTGACATATTTTAAAATGGAAGCATAATCAGAACACATAATAATCTTAATTGTATTTGTATTTAAATATTACATCGTTATACAAATAAAGGTAAAACGTAGCCACTGCGTTAATACTCAAAACATGGCAGCTTTAACTAAAAATAACATAAACAATATGTGCAATAAGCGCACATGTGCTGTTAATAACAAAGAGGTTAATACTATTTATTACATACCTATAAATTAAATCAATAAAGTGTACCATATGTGCAAAATAAATTTAATTTTATCAAAATCAAAATGACATTCAGGGCATAAATTCGTTTGTTTTTAAAAAAAAATTTTCAGCATAATCCTTGTTTAAATTTTTATACTTGTTAAATTCCTATAGCTTTATGTAGTACCAATTCCAAAGATGTCAGCGCCCTGGGTGAAGTTTCTACCCTCTGTTTATTATCATTTGGAGGGGATTTAATATAATTTTAGTATATGCAATTCGCAAACCTGTGGCCCCCAAACTTTTACTGGCCTTTATGGCTAAGAAAACCAAACCAATATACTAATGATTGTATTAGATGAAGTCTAGACCATTACAAGAACCTAATCATTGTCGACGTTTTATCTTGCAGACAGAATAGTTATCTGACATAGGTCTAAGTCCAAATAATGATATCCTACTAGCGCCTTCTAATTCTTTTTTTATGTTTTTACATATTTTCGAAATCGACATCTGCGCTTGGATAGACATCCTTGTTTGATAATAGCATTAAAAATGTTAATTTAAACTTTAGTGAGCTTTCAAAGTTGACACGCATATGAATTTAAGCTCCATTCAAATTTTGATACTTTCCTTTATGTATTGGTTATGTTTGTGTTGTGTACGTGCATTTCGTCGTATTAGTAAAATTTGAACACGATTCTCATTCGAAATTATAAAAATAGCAATTTTGTCATGTTCCCTGTCCAATCAGTCTCTTAAGCTTTACTCTGACCAAAGATCTACACACACAAATTGAATGCAATTTGAAGATAATTCAGAAACAAATTAAGTAATTATTTGTTTATTATTAATGTTTCTTACCAACGTTTAATTAATTTGATTCTAAATGAATTTTTTTACAAATATCTATGGTTTTTAAAAATATTTGTTGGTCGTCAAAGAAACATTAATATTTTTTTAAAGGCGGAAAAATCTAGAAAATGTCCTAATTAGGTAATTGGTACTCTATATGCCACATCCCATTCAAGGTATTTTATATTCTTGGTTAGTCTACATATTGCTATTTTCAATTAAATAAAATTAACTATAGGATTTTCCCGCCTTTGTTATGCATTTAATAATTTCATCATTTATACGAGTAAGAAATGGTCAACTTACAATTTTATAGATGTATCATTCAACAGCAAAGCCGGCAGTTTCGAGGACGGCTTGTTTTAACTTATCGTGCATTTTCTCTTTATTCGGATACGGCGGTATGTCGAGCCGGTTGAAGCAAGTATGCGCTTTCGGCAGGGAGTCTGGCGACGCGTCCGCCACTAAGTGCAAAGTGAACAAC